CTCTCATCGCTTTTACTTTTGGTTTCCCAAAAGATCTCGTACCAATAGAAATGTATTTCTTACTTACAAACCTATGATCAACCCTTAATTAGTCAATGTGAGACTTCTCTCCCAACAATCCTCAACGATCTTCCCATCGAACAAAGTATACCATTTGTTCGACACTTGAATCACTTTTGACTACACCTTCGAGGCTCACAAGTTCTTTGCTCGATACTTGAGGATTCTATTGACATGACTAAGTTAAAGGCATGACTCCGATACTATGTTAGAAAGGACAACTCTCCACAATGGTATGATAATGTCCATTTTGAGTATCAGCACTCGTGACATTACTTTTGGTTTTCCCAAAAAATTTCATATAATAGAGATGTATTTCTTACTTATAAACTCAGATCTCCCGATTAACCAAATCTTTGTGGTTTCATGCAGGACGAGTGGGTTCTATGCAGAATAATACACAAATCCTGTGAGAAAATCAAACCCAGAAGATGTCTCCAAGAGTCTCCTTTGTCGGTTCCCTCTCCCGTATCTCTGCCTCCATTATTCTCGGACGAAGCTCAAACCGTAGCCCACAACGACATTCGATTCCAAGCCGCTCTACAGAACCTTCAGCGCCACGAAAATGGCGTCGAGAGCTTCATCACAAACAACCCACATTTCATTTTCCAATCAACCCTCTTACCCTTTGGCTTAAACCTCGACACCCACTTGTCTCCGCCGTCGCTTCAAGGGACGACCAGCAGCACCGACACCCACTTGGTTGATGTTGGTGGGTATGCAGGTGGGCGTGGTGAGTGTGATGAAAATTGGTCGGGAGGGTGGTGATGATTGGGTGTCGGATCAGATGTTTGTTATTTATATTCTCCTTACACGGATCTCGAAGCATTTTGTTTTCTTGTTTTTTTGAATGATGCTCGAAGATCAATGTAATAGAACAATAATGCTACTTGGAACTTCATTTATTGCATTCTTGAAAGTATTGAATCTCCATCGTTTAGGTTTGTTGTTTTGACGACCAAATTGTGGGGGGAAAAACCGACCATCATTTGAAGAAGAAAAAATAGGAAAAACTAAAAAAAAAACGCTCTTGAATTGACTTGGGTTACAAGTGTGGTTCTTGCTGTATTGACCGCATTCTTTGGTGTAATTGGTTATTCCTTACCTCATGACCAAATTGGTTATTGGGCAGTCAAAATTGTAACAGGTGTACCGGAAGCTATTCCAGTAAGAGGGTCGTCTTTGTTAGAGTTATTATGCGGAAGTGCTAGTGTGGGACAATCTACCTTGACTCGTTTTTATAGTTTACACACTTTTGTATAACCTCTTTTTACTGTCGTATTTATGTTAATACACTTCCCAATGATACGTAAGCTAGGCATTTCTAGTCCTTTATAGAGAATCGAAATCATAGATTTGTAATTAGTTATTTATGATTAATCAAGGGAGGAAGAAAGTATTTCATCCACGAAATTTTATTCGTTATTTTTCAATAATCACAGGATCCTGCTTAATACCATATTTTTTATTTTTTATTCAATTCTTATATTTAAATAACAATATATCCTAAAAATGTAAAAGAGTAACGACTTAGTGAAAGCCAATCAACTCGAAGGAATGATTTTAACCTAAAATAGGGATTTATCTGACCAGGTTTAGCCGGTGTTCTTTGTTTATTTAGAGAAGGGTGGAACAAGTTGGGACGAGTGAGAAGAATGAGTTGATTCCAACAAAGATGGTCATAGGAAGGAGAGTTTGCATGGACTATGGTTGTGGTTACCAATTGTTGACAATGGATGGATATTCAAGGTTACAACCAGATAATAAATGTACGACATTCACATGTCCATATGGAATTATACTGCACCCGAGCACCATTTCAAAGTAGTATGATGGTTAACTTTTCGTTAAAATTTTCCTCAATGATTTCTCTTTGAAAAATCTTGAACCAATGGGAAAAATGTCACTTCATTGTGCAACAAAAAGACATACTGGTAGGACACGGGATCTTGAAGAAAGGAATAGAGGTGAACATGATCAAGGCCAAGCTATTTTTCAAACTTCCCTTGTCAAAAGTGGGTCATATTCAAATAATAATTTAAAAGGTGTATAGTATATAGATAAGATTGGGTGTTTTATCTCGTAACATATGACCCACTTTGTAATTGTTACAATGATTTGATTCAAATCGTTCATGTATGAATATGTGAGTGAGAGTATCATATATAACGAGTTTGTATAAGACTAGTCTACAAAAAATATTTAATCTCTCTTTACAAATTTGTTAACGAAGAAAATTAATATTTTACGAGATGATCATATGTAGTCCCCCACATCTGACTAAAAAGACAAGACAACAGTAAACAAATAAAATAAAAAATAAAAATATGGTAAATTTTAAATCAAATTAAAATAAACGACACCATAATTAAAACCAATATGAAATCTAGTGACAAGTTGGTGCTATTAAAGTTTATTACAAACAAGAAACCGATGGGAGATACATTTATAAACAAAGTACAAAAGACTCAAATTACATAGATGGATTAACGCTTCTAAACGATCCCCTCTATGATTGAGCAGCTCTTGAATGCTTCCCCACCTCTTCTGAACGATCTCCTCTATGACTAAGCAGCTCTCGAATGCTTTCCTACCTCGATTGAGAGCCTAGAAACACTTAAACAAAAAGAAAGGACAAAGGGTGAGTATAAAAATATTCAATAAGCAACCTACTTGTATGTTATATTGCATCTTTAACCTAATAGATATCTATGGGCTTTTCTTTGGGCTCTAAGAAGTTCTGTCTAGTCTCTGCTACTATCTGAGCATCTAGGTTAGTATCAAAGTTTCGAGCAGGTTTCTGATTAGAATCTTACCTCTAGGGGTCTGTACAAGTTTTCCAACCTTTATGTTTTTTTTTATTTAGGTATTTTCTTTGCTTATGCAGTGAATAAATGATACCCTAAGTTGATAGGTACAATATGGTGTTGCTAGCCTGAAAATCATCTATGGGAGATTAGAAGGTGAACTCTCCCACAAGACCATAAAGTCATCCTAGTTTAGGGAAGCGACCCCGTGTGCCAACCAGCTACTGTATCATACTACAAGAAACCATGACCCCTCTTAGAATAACTTTTATTGCATAGTGGCCCGTTCAGTAAACCACTGGCCTTTTCCTTTAGGTAAGGGCATTTGGTCACCTCGACGAGCTACGCTATTTGGCCTAGGCCTGACTCGCTTGTACTTGTGCTACTACCACTTGGTAGGGCACTACTAGCGCTAAGGGCATATTAGAGGAGATATAAGGCGGAGACTAGTGACATCACCATATTGCTAACTATTTGGTGAGCCACTTTAATCATTTCTAGGGGCGTTTGGTCAATTTAAATCTTATCTCACATTTTTAGGACACTCGAGACTAACTCCTCGGGGCTAATCTAATCTTTGGATGCACTCAGGTCTAGACCTTTAATTGTCGCTAACGATCTTGGGGTGCTTAGTTTATTAAAAACATACTGAACGAGGTCAACGTGTAAACCACTCCAACTCTAGCGCCCTATTCTTAGCTTGGTTCACGCATACATGCTTTGTTAAGGAGGTCTTCCTATCGATCACTAAAAGCACAGAAATCATGTACTAAATATCACCTTGGTCATTGTCAAGACCCAATTTTCAAGGCTTCGAATCTCGCATCGTAACTAAAAGACAAAGCGAAAGAAAATAAAAGAAAATATAAAATAAAAATAAATGTACAAAAATACGGTAAAATTTCGTGCAATTTAAAGTCATACAACACCATAGTCAAAAACCAAAATTAAAAAAGAAAAATAAAACAAAATATGTGTTGTTCAAGTTATTTACAAACGGGAAATAAGAACGAAATACAAAATGAATACAAATTACCACCAACAAAAATACAAATTACCCTGACGCTCCGAGTCGACATCCCAGAGGATAGCGTAATTTTCGAGCACCTCCCCACCCGACTGGTAGATGAAAAAGAAAATGGAAAAGGGGGAGTGTAAAAATCCTTAACCTAGTAAGTATTCACTAGTTTACTCTAAAATGTAGAAAGTTCGGGCATAGTCTCTACTTCTATCTGAACAACTAAGTGTCTCGAAGTTCCATATAGTATTAGTCGAGCGTTATCTGTCTAATTGTCTACCAAGCATTAAGCAAACCGGAAGCCAAACAGATATCTATGGACAACTAATGATCTAGCCAAACATGATATCTATGCTCATAACCTCGAGCAGCCACAAATAACTAGGAAAAAACAACTATTTGAAGAAGAGGAGGGAGGGAAATAAATTACAAAACTTGCTCTGAATCTAACCGACTAACATATTTTAAATCAATATCCATCCATTAATTGGATTGGGCACCTCATTCATTAATTTTATTAGTACAAAAGATGGTTGGGAAATGATTGTCAATCTCCAAAGGCAAGAATTCACCATGGAAGATGTGATTCTTGACACATAAATGATTCATATTCTGCATTTAATGAATGATTGAGCACTCCCCGCTATTACCTAATTCATATATCCGTTTTGTCCATTAATTTTGGTTTCTTCTCTTTTAATCACTTCCACTCTGTTTTCAGCTTCTTCTTTTTGTTCTGTTCTTCGCGTTTTCATCTTCATCCAAGCCCATAATCCTCAAGGTTCACTCTAATCTCTCTCTCTTCTTATTGTTTCATTTGATTCTCCGTAACCCATTTGTTAATTCTTCACTTTATTTGAACCCATTTGTTTGGGAATCGAAATCTTTCAAAGGGGGTGGGAGATTTTACACATTTGAACCAAACCCACTTTCTAACTTCGATTAAATCTGTATGAACTTAGTCAACTCACTACTCATTTTGTGTGTGGACCATGATGAAGAACAATGAATGGTGGTGTTCTTGATTGATTCTTTCTTTCCCCTTTTGCTTTTTAAACATAATTTCCTCAAAGTTGGTCGATCCGATCGATCCCACATCCCTCAATGTCTTTCAACTCTCAATTATTAGCCTTATAATGATAAAATTCACAGCCACGAAAGAAATTACTAACCCTTTTCACTGTCCCATCTTCAACCCCTTTGTCTTTATGTAACATGTTATCTTTCTTGTCTCCGCCCCATTCTCTCTTCTGGGTACTCCTTTTTCTCCGTTCTAAGCTAACCCTTTTGAGTAAACCATCTGAATTTCCGATCTGTTGCTCTGTAGTTTGCAGTGCCTGACCCCATTGGAGCGTGGATTGAATAAATGAAGGGAGCTGTGATAGTGGCTCTTGCAGCTTCCATTGGAAACTTTCTTCAAGGATGGGATAATGCCACCATTGCTGGTACTATACTTTGTTCATGATATGCTTGTTAGATTATGTATCCAAACACAAAAGTTTTCACAGTGCTTAGATTCATGAACTTTGTGTATATTAGGGGCTATGGTGTACATAAAGAAGGACATGGCTCTGAATTCTTCAGTGGAAGGACTTGTAGTGGCGATATCACTGATAGGAGCAACGATTATTACGACGTGCTCAGGACCGATAGCAGATTGGGTCGGTCGACGTCCAATGCTGATACTGTCATCACTGCTTTATTTTATAAGTGGTTTGATCATGTTGTGGTCGCCTAATGTGTTTATATTGTGCATAGCTAGGCTGTTGGATGGATTTGGGATTGGTCTTGCTGTTACTCTTGTACCAGTTTATATTTCTGAGACTGCCCCATCAGATATAAGAGGATTGTTGAATACTCTCCCACAGTTTACTGGATCTGGTGGCATGTTCATATCTTATTGTATGGTATTTTCTATGTCGTTGTCGGTCTCGCCGAGCTGGAGAGTAATGCTCGGAGTTCTTTCGATCCCCTCCGTCCTATATTTTATACTAACCATGTTTTTCTTGCCTGAATCTCCTCGGTGGCTTGTTAGTAAAGGCAAGATGCTCGAGGCGAAAAAGGTTCTCCAGAGACTCCGTGGCATAGAGGATGTTTCAGGTTCGTATTTCTATTCCTTATTGCCATTTTTACTTCAATTCTCTGTCGAAAATTTTGCTAGTTATATGCTACTTAAGCCGTTGTGTTGCCTTTTTCTTGTATGCTATATAACATTGTTTTCAATCTCTCTCAATCTTGCTTTTGAACTATTAGGAATCACGGATCTCCATAATGGTATGATATTGTCCACTTTGATCATAAGCTCTCGTGGCTTTGCTTTGGGCTTCCCCAAAAGGCCTCATACTAATGGAGATGGGTTTCTTACTTATAAACTCATGATCATTCCATGAATTAAGCCAATATGGGACTCCCTCCCACCATTTTCAACAATCCTCCCCTCGAACAAAGTATATTATAGAGTCTCCCCTTAATCGAGGTCCGACTCCTTCTCTTGAGTCCTCGAACAAAGTACACCCTTTGTTCGACACTTGAGTCACTTTTGACTACACTTTCAAGGATCACAACTTCTTTGTTCAACATTTGAGGATTCTATTGACATGGGTAAGTTAAGGGCATGACTCTGATTCCTAACACAAATTTTCTTTAAAAAATCTCTCTGCCCCGTTTTCTAAAACTTTCTTCTCCATCGGAGTCAGAGGTTTGAGAATACATTGCCTGGACACGTATACAAATTAGCTTGACTCACTTAGTGCTAGAAAGTGAGTGTTGTACAATCGCAAAGTCCGCTCCGAGATTGTTTTCTTATAAGGCTTCTTCAACAGGTGAGATGGCTTTGCTGGTGGAAGGTCTTGGGATTGGGGGGGAGACATCCATAGAAGAGTATATAATAGCACCTGCTGAAGGGTTAGATGGGGAGAGTGCTGCTGATCATAGAGATAAAATCAGGTTATATGGACCTGGTGAAGGCCTATCTTGGATTGCTAAGCCTGTCACAGGACAGAGTTCTCTTGCCCTTGCATCCCGGCAAGGAAGTATGGTCAATAAAAGTATGGCTCTTATGGACCCTCTTGTCACCCTCTTTGGTAGTGTTCATGAGAAGCTCCCGGAGTCCGGGAGCATGCTTTTTCCGAATTTTGGCAGCATGTTCAGCACGGTCGAACCTCACGTGAAAAACGAGCAATGGGACGAGGAGAGCCAGAGAGGAGATGACTATACATCAGAGGCTGCTGGAATGGACTCGGATGACAATGTGCATAGTCCACTGATTTCACGACAGGCAACCAGCATGGATAAAGACATTGTTCCTCCTCCTTCCCATGGCAGTATTTTCAGTGTGAGGCACCATAGTAGTTTCTTGCAAGGAAGTTCCGACGCAATCGGTAATACTGGCATCGGTGGAGGCTGGCAGTTAGCATGGAAATGGTCCGAGAAAGGCGAGGACGGAAAGGAGGGTGGATTTAAACGTATTTATTTGCACCAGGAGGACATTCCTGCACCTCGACGTGGTTCGATTCTTTCTCTTCCTGGTGAAGATGTGTATGCAGAAGGTGAGTTCATCCAGGCTGCAGCCTTGGTTAGCCAGCCTGCTCTTTTCTCTAAGGAGCTTAAAGATCAGCGCCCGGTCGGCCCTGCAATGGTTCATCCATCCGAAACAGTATCGAAAACTCCCATATGGTCCGCTCTCCTCGAACCAGGCGTTAAGCATGCTCTAATTGTAGGAATTGGAATCCAGATTCTTCAGCAGGTACTAACATCTTCCCCTGCTTACTCTTATGGTCCAATTTTTTGAAGTGAGCAAACCTTATGCGTCTGTCTTTTGAACGAATTTTCAGTTTTCCGGGATCAACGGAGTTCTTTACTACACACCTCAAATTCTTGAAGAGGCTGGTGTTGAAGTTCTGCTATCAAACATGGGCATTGGTTCTGAATCTGCATCGTTCCTGATCAGTGCAGTCACAACCTTTCTGATGCTTCCCTGTATAGGTGTGGCCATGAGGCTCATGGATATTTCAGGCAGAAGGTAACTACCATTACCATACATGCTAGCAACATTTTTTATATCAAATTCAAGCTAACATAGCTCTTATGTAGGCGCCTCTTACTGGCTACCATCCCGGTGCTAATAGTATCGCTCGTCGTTCTTGTCGTGTTTGAGCTTGTTACGGTGAGCACCATGGTGAATGCAGCAATCTCAACCATATGTGTAGTTGTTTACTTTTGCATCTTTGTGATGGCATATGGACCAATTCCAAACATCCTTTGCTCGGAAATTTTCCCGACGAGGGTCCGTGGCCTCTGCATTGCGGTTTGCGCAATGGTATTCTGGATCGGAGATATAATTGTTACCTACACTCTACCCCTAATGCTTAGTGCTATTGGTCTTGCTGGTGTCTTTGGCGTCTATGCAGTCGTGTGTATAGTTTCATGGATTTTCGTCTACTTGAAAGTCCCAGAAACCAAAGGCATGCCGCTCGAGGTCATCGCCGAGTTCTTCTCTGTTGGCGCTAGACAGGCTGCTAAAGTTGCTAAGAATTGAGTCGAGGAAGTTGCATATGGCTACAAAAAGTTCATCTGCTGCATTAAGGGATGAACAGGAGGAGGAGCACATAGCTGCAAGCCCAGATTCTTTTCCTTTCTTGAATTCTGCTTTAAGTTTATGTACTTTGTATGCACTAACATTTAGATTTTTAGTTTGATTTTAATGTAACATAAGTTGGTTCAGAAATTTTGGATCATAGTTAGTCACTAATAAATTCCAATTCGCTCTCAGTTGTTTGTAATATATTTTTAATTTTAGGTACAATATAGTCGGAAAAAAGTTAGAATTTGGTCTCTATCCTTATGATATGATAAAACTTCATAAGTTAATTTAGAGATGTCGATGACAAAATAATGAACATATAGAAATGTCGATAGGAGTGTCACATAACTAAGTGTCTATATTAAGCTAATTATTGTGGTCGTTAAATGGTTCCAGTTCACATGCCATTGTCACACTCACACTCTTGCAATAGCGGAATTGCGATTGTGCGACACTTGTTCTAACCAAGCAAATAAGTCAGCCGTGAGAAATTCGGTCCTCGCAGACAACGTCGACGTATGTTCGGGCTTTGAGTCACGTTGCGAGAAAAGGTTTAGAAAACGTGCACAAGGAAATAAATTTGAATACGGTGTGAAGAATTGAAGAAAACAATGTTATATTACTATAAGCAAATTGAGAAATACCACGCAGCTTAAAAAGCATATAACTCAGGGTAGGAAGAAATGACAACTAGTCATATCCCGCTATAGTACATTTTGGGCCATTTTAGCCCTATCAGGTATAGACATGGTTTTGGTGAACGGTCATACACCCTCGTATTGACCCAACGTGAAATGGTAGGCCTATCTAGGATGAAAGCATATAAAAGGGGTTTTGGAATTTTGGAATGGGCATACAACTATAGACAATATGTCCTGGACAAGTAAGGATCGGGACATCTGCCATGCAGCCATAGGCTACACGCTGAGAGTGGCATGAAACGTACCTAAAATGAAGTGATAAAAAGAACATTTATTATAAAGAAGCTGCAACATGTATCAGTTTCATCAGAAAATTGTTTAAACAATGCTCTAATAGGAATAAATCAATGGATCTAAAGGAACATACAAATTTTAGAAAGGAATTCCGCAGCTGAACCTACAATTTCTGAAGGAGAAAGTTCAACTTCTACTTCTAATTCTCACAGGATGAATCTCACACTCCATCTACCATTGATGTCTGCATTCAATGTCCAATTGTTTTCCCTGATCTGAAGATATGGTATCTGTATAAAAGAGGTGGAAGAAAGTGAAAAAAAAAAAAACCCATATAGAACAGTGCAATTTTAGACCAATAATTGCATTATAATGTAATGTGTTAAGCTGTCATGTCAAGGATGATAAAAATATGGTTCAGGCCACTTGAACTAGAAAGGTGAAGGAAAAAAATCTTATCATGTCAGTTGCAAAGTCAATTGAAATTAAAGAACTACGACAATTTGGCATTGATTAAAAATTCTTTTGGAGGGACACTCCAAAGGAAGCTAAAAAAAACAAACTAATAGTAGAATCACATGTACTACTACTCACAATGCCCTAAAAAATTATGAGGGCCTTCCTTAACCAAAGAGTTGTGGCTTTTATACTAAAAAAGTGACCAGGACAAACATGCTCCATGATTTGTTTACAAAGACGTATGCTCCATGAATCCTTGGGGTCTCGGTGCATAGGGAGGCACTATTATTCAAATCCAAACTCTTTCAAAAGCAGACATCAACAACAACAACAGGTTTTTCTCTCCATCAAGTATTAGTCTCACCCAATGTTAAATAAAGTATGCTGGAAGAATTTAACCTGTAGGAGGTATATTTCCACGTCGCTTTAGTGAGAACAAGAAGGCTGGGATATTTCCACGTCGCTATGTTCCCACAAATTTAAAAACAAAAATAGAAACTTGTTCTGAAACTAGTTGCCAAACAAGTCCAAAGACTCTTGGCGCAGTTCCCCAAGGTTTCCTACCTCCACAATCTAACATCCAGCAACTGGTTGGAAAAGCAGCCTTGTTCATCAAGGATCATTTACAGCTTTTCATAAGTGCAAGAACAAACTGAACAATCAGTTCTGGCAGTCTCCTATATAGCCACATCAAAGTCTTGGAATGGAATAGTTCAACCTCTTCCCCGCCCAAGGATCCCCCCAAAACAAGAAGGCTGGTTTCACATGAAATGATACTTCAGAGTGAAAAGATCTTTAGGTCTCACTCAGAGAGACCGATTATGTCTATTGAGCTATGAGAGCATCTTTCTTTCCAACCAATAGAAACTATGCCATGTTTGCTGCCTAACATCTTCAGTTATAAGCATGGTTTCTGAATAGACTACGTGGTTGGATAAACTCAATTATTGGTTTTATCACACGAAAATGACAAAATCTAACTTCTAAAACTATAGGTAGTGTTTCAAAAGGCTTAAGATGGCCTCAAGATGTTTTCTTATGGAGAAGCGAGGCGTAAGCTTTGAGGCGGTACGAGGCTTAAGCCTCATTTTAAACTAAAAAATTAAATTTAAATCATAAAACCTTACGAGTTCTTAACTTTTTTTTTTTTGGGGGGGGGGGGGTAAGAAACCAAGTTTTCATTAAAGGCATACAAAAAAAGTCCAACAAAAGGGGGTCCAAGAATGAACTACAAAAACATACTCCAATCCAACAAAATCAAACCAATATCTGAAATACAAATCAGGCTAGCCCACAACCATTGCAAATTCAAAAGAATGAAACTCAGCTTTTCGTGAATAAATGAAAAAAAAAAAAAAATCAAAACAAAATTAAAGGAGGAGAGAACAAAATTCACTTTGGTGAGTTGCCGTCAAAGAGCTAGTCACCTTGCAAACTTTCTTTAGCTAATGCAAAAACTCACAGTAGTTGTTCTAGTTTAAAATAACTACAGCTTGCACTTTTTTTGTTTTCCTTTAGTAAACTGATTGAACTTTTTAGGCATGCCTTTTTCACTTTTCATTGCATTTTTAAATTTCTTTGATATGCGCATGAACCATGACCCCGAATTAAGTAAAAAACATGCCCTGCATAAATTAAATACACCACATGGACCCATGGCTCACAACCATTACAAATAAACATAAGGCTTAGGCCTTATAGCCTCATGAGGAATACACATAGAGGCTTACACTTCTCTCAACAAAGGCATAAACCTCTTTGTATATGTTGAAGGTTGTTTCTTCGTCTCAACCCTTACGTCTTGAATGCTTTTTAAAATATTGCCATATGAACGAAATTCTAACTTTCTCCAAATTATAGGGACAAATTTGACCAGAAATTTAAATTGTAAGATCATATTTCTTTTTATAATGTATCCAATGCAGAGGTATGCATTAATAAGTAAGACTGTCTTGTTAATGACCAGATGAAACCATTTTCTTTATCCAACACTCTCCAAGAAAGTATCTGTTGTGCTGCTCGATTATAGCAGTCAGCAATATATTTTGAATAATGGATTTTTTTAAGGATTCATTGGAAAGGCCTGCTTGAGCAAGGATCAGGACAATCTACAATCTTTGAAGTTCAGAGGGTGGGTTTGTTAAACTTCTTCTCTAGCTCCAAATTTCAGCTTTGTTTACAATGTCTCAGGGGATGTCTAAGTGGTCAACTTCCTGTAGTATTAAAGAGCTTCATGATAACATGCTTGATAAGGATTAAGTTTTAAACAGTCCTCAAGTTTCTCTTTACTGCTATTTGCTCATGCTAAACGAGGCCATTTTATAGGTTTTTATACAAACAAGATGCCTCCCTAAATACTGCCTTTAATCAAATAGAAGCCCTGCCTTTGTTCAACAGCCATAGACAAATCAGCTGCGAAATTGGAAGGAGAAAAAAAGACAGTCTGTTGCCTCAAGGCCCCATAGCCAACTCTTCAATCCTAGGTTCACGACTAAAGAAAACTTCCAATCACCTTTTGCAATCGTTATATATTTTTTCTTTTTCTTTCTAAAGAAGGGCTACAAGATAATAAATAATAAGATAACATAGAGACAATCAAATTGCATCTAGTATAGAAAGTAAATATATGATTTGAATGACCACTACAAAAACAGAGAACTCTACCTTTTCGAACACTTCAAATCCTACTTTGACCCTTACATCTTGCTCCCCTTGGACATTATATACACCCAAGGAAAATTCAGCAGCCCCTTTGAAATTAGTCTGCCAAAAAAACAATGGAACAAAACTGGTTGCAGAAGAAAACCAAAGAAACCATCACTTTTACACCTTTGCTTTTTTCGTTTCCGTATCCCGAGATATAGTTAATCGACACTAACCTGCTTAAAATCCTTGTCATGATGAGATTGCCCTTTAATAGTAAATTGCAACATACCATCGGTTGTCACAGGAAAAGACATTTTCCCTCGAGCAAAATGCTGAAGTTTCCTATATTTGTCATATTGCACCCCTATACCCGCGCTTGCAAACAACTACATTTGATTTACAAAACAATGATATAAAAAAAAAATAGACCTACACAAAGTAAATTGGTTCCACAGAGAAAACCTTACGTCGGGGAAAAATTGTCTCACGGAAGCAGCAAGTAGACTCGGTTCTCCCATTCTTGTATCTAGCTCTCCATGAACCTTAGAAAATGAATCTTTGTAAGAACTAAGGTCTACAAAATCCACTATTCTTCTAAATCAACACAACACAATCCTCCAAGACACGTTTTGCAATCAATTCGACAGAGGAACACTAAAACCAACAGAAAAGATCAAAACGCAAGATAATATTGCTAAATTCTACAAACATCAGCGCCGACCATAGGAATACCTGCAAGAAAATGTTGGAGTCCAGAGGAATCTTCTCCTTGGCGTGGATTCTTAAGGCTCTGGAGTCTCCGCCACATCTGAGAGAAGTCTCCATCGATGATGCAGAAAGTAGAAGAACCGGAAATGAAAGAGGAGAAGAAGAAGGCTGCACTGAACGTGAAAGTGAAACCGAATCTCTAAAACTTACAAACCCCAAGCTGCCATGGCTCTGCTCTGCTTTGCCTGTTACTGAATTTCCTTCAAAAACCTCACACAGCACAAAAGTTTATCCTTACCTAATTCAAATTTTTTATAGTATATTATATATATATATATATATATATATATATATATATATTTTTTTTTTTTTTTTTTTTTTTTTTTTTTTTTTTT